GAGCCTCCGAATTACTTTTTTGCCGTTGTACAGCAGGCTGCAGCAATCACTCATCTTTTCCATAAGCAATACGATGATTCCATCTTTCCTTTGGTTAGGTAAGATTGCGGTAATTATAGCGATACTTGATCCGAAATCATGATTATTGATGTATTGTGCAACAGCAATGGTACCTTTTTCAGTGATACACCAGTTGAAGATGTCTGTGCCAAGAAACAAAGTGATTGCTTAAGAAATGTCGAAAATCGCATAAATCTTGGTTTGGAGCGACAACTCAATGTCGTTGTCGGGTACATACGCTTTTTGTTGAGCAGCGAGCAAAAGAAAACGGATTTTCGTCCCGAAGATGAAAATCAACAAGTGACAGCCATGTCCTGTGTTAGTTTTTCGAAATCTTTTTGCCTCGCTTTGGATTATTTTACCGTTTTTCAGTGAGTTGCCCATTTTGTTCAGCTTCTTTGGTTTCTTCATAGCACACTTTTGCCCGACACATACAACTGACAGTGTTTCCATAGTTGGCTTGACTAATGCTTTTTCGGCATTGGGAAAGCAAAAATTTAATATGACCCGGACTTTTGAAAATTTTGCTCATTTTTGACAGTGGTAACAAATTCTTTGAAATTTTTTTTCTTAAATTTGCTGAGAATGCGAAATTCTACAGGCATGTGCAGTGGTTGTGAAGTATTTGACAGCGGAAGTGCAAATAATACGTGATAGTCTGGACGGAGGCAATTTGACATCCATTATGCTGGAATTCGGGCGACGTTTTTACAAAGTTTTCCTGAATCACATTTACCAGTTCACTTACAATTCACAAGGCGCAATGCTGTTACTCTGTGATATCAACGAATACAGGTTATTTCATACGCCGCCTTTCAATCGCTTTTGCTTTTCACATGCATAGATTTTTAGAGTTTTTATGGACTATTCATAGTCACCTTGAAGGGCAGATACTGCCCTTACTGGTCTTTACCCTTCACTGAATGGGCCGTTGTTCCTCCTCCTTAATTACTAGCCTTTTCCTTTTGCCTACAGGGCCTTTACAGCCTGTACTGCCTTTCACTTACTCAAATAGAAAGATCGTGGGTTTTATTTTCCATTATTTTTACAGGAAATATCAGCAGTGTTAATACGGTTTGTAATAAATAAAATTCGATATTTAGGAAATGTGTAATGAGTTGGAAAATCCCAGATGTTGACAAACAGTTCGAATCGCTGCATGCCCTCGCAAATTTGCTGGTTGTCGTGCCTGAAAATCTGAACGAAGCATGTTCCTCGCAACTGCTGGTACGTTTTTTTTTTCGACGTTTTTTCGATGTTTTTTTCGGCGTATTTTGTGCACTTGAAACGCGGCGAACTTCCCCACACTCTTCATTCTGGAAAGGGTTAAAAGGTCGCCAGTCGGATAATGTGTAGAAATACTCTTTGAATATATAAATACGCTTTGAGTATAAGGAAATGTCAACAAAAGTTGCGTGGCTATAAGTGATCGTAGTGCTATACGAAATTCGGTTTGAATAACAGATTTTCGAAAAACTGGAGAATTTTGTTTTTCCAGCGAAAGAAATTCCAAAAATGGCAGTTTTCGGCTGATTATAGTTGCGTAGCTCTTTCACCAAAAACCTTTTTATACGAAAAGGTTTCAAATGAGGGGTTATATTATATGTGACATTGTTCCGATAATTCTAATTATTCTTTTATTATTTGTTTACGCTTCCAGCTCACTTTCAGAGTTTTGGTATAAAATTATCTGAGCGTCAAATATCCCCGAAATGTTTGGAGCAGTAGTTAGCTCATAGTCTGTCACTCTATATATATATATATATATATATATATATATAGTTGGCAAATTTATCATCGATTACGATCTTGTGTATTCCCCATTTGCACCGCTTCATACATTTGATTTATTAGGTTGGCTCGGCTTTCCGGTGGTCTTCCTCCTGTTCTTTTTGTATAAAATTTTTCGAATTTAACGGCTTTTTGAAATGGTTACGATTCCCCCTCCGCTCTCCATGTTAGCAACAACTCAGGGCCAGGAAGTGCTTTAGTAGATGATAAAAAAATTGCATTGAGTTTTCGATTCCGTTTGTCGAAAAGCTTGAATAAGGTTATTTAAGGTTGATATTGATCGGACGATGGTAAATAGCTTCATACAACTTCGGGTTGACTATCGCTCAGCGAAGCTGCACTTAAATGCTGTGTAAATCGAAGATTGCCGTTTTAGTATAATAATTTTTCTGCTTTTCCCGGTTTTTGTTGACTCCTTGTGAATTCTTCGCATCTTCCGGTGATTGTTTTTGCTCCATTTAATATTGAAGACTGTAAGCTCACATTTGCTGATGTTTAATTTATTCTGTTTGGAAGAATTTTTTTGCTATTTGACATAGTGCATTGACATACAGTGCAACTGTTTGACCGCAAATTTGTGGTTCTAGTAGAGAGTCAACAGGTTATTATTCATTGTCCAGTTTTAGTTTAGTAAGGGGTCACATAAGTGGTCAAAATTGCTAAGTGTCTTCGCTTTTCAGGAGTGATATTTGACCAAGATTCCCGGTTTTTTTTGTAATTACTAAATAGAATGTTTTATTCTCTTACTGGCAACTGTGGGCATTGCGCATTAGTGAATGGTGCTTGTAAAAAAGAAAACGACTATCGGACAGCCTCGAGGAAGTAACATACATGCATTGTTGAACAAATGATTAGATACTACGGAGGCATACAGCTCAGACTCGAAGGGCTCAAGATCCGATGTGTAGAATCATTCCAGCAACATAACTAGTGCATTTTCCTCAGACTGGTTTTCCTCATGGCAAGTATGGGTAACTTTTGGCGACACGCGGGCCTCATTCACATACGTACTTATACTTGCAGGCCGTGCATTCATGTGTTTTTGCGCTGAACTTGATGCAGTCAGAACGTCAACAGTATGAATGATTGTTGCTTTACAGTTGAACACGCGTGACTCATGTATCTGTGTTTTGGTCTTTTCTTGCATGCGAGGAAAAAGTGCATCGCTGGGACGGTAGTGTTGCATCATGGCTCTCCTCTTGCTGAGTTGAAAGTGGGTGACAAAGTTCGCTCGGTTCTGAATACACACACACACACAGACATGCTCTCGACATTATGCATTTTTGCATTTGCAAAAAAACGCATAAAAATAGATAAATTTTTACCAGGTTCATTCAGTAAAAAAAAAATAACAGCAGGTTAATGTGAGCTCTAGGCTCGAGCTTTTGACATAAAATTGTTGAAATTTGCATTTATGTCACCGGCACAGAGGCTCAAAGTATTTTCTGGGTTGTCGTCTGTTAACTTTGTGCGTATTTTAGTTTTATTTATTATGCGTTTTGTGCTGTGTAACAGCAGTACAAAACGCATGTTGTTATGGGGTCGTCTGTGTGTGTGTGTGTTTATGTGTGTGTGTGTGTCCGCAGTAACTTGTCCGCAACTTTCAACTCGGGAACCACAAAAGCTAGGAATCTGAAAATTTAGGGTAACGTTACCCACGTGTGACTCCGCAAATTTAAATTCATCTTCCCCGTACCCGCGGGTAACGCGTACGGCCCTGTGAAAGTTTTTTAACCACGTGTGACCCCGCAAATTTAAATTCAGCTTCCCCGTACCCGCGGGTAACGCGTACGGCCCTGCACGTGTGACCCCGCAAATTTCACAAAGCTAGGAAGCTGAAAATTTAGGGTAACGTTCCCCACCCACGTGTGACTCCGCAAATTTAAATTAAGAGCTAGGAAGCTGAAAATTTAGGGGAACGTCCCCCACCCACGTGTGACCCCGCAAATTTAAATTCATCGTACCCGCGGGTAACGCGTACGGCCCTGTGAGAGTTTTTTACGGGTAAGTTAATATCTCGGGAACCACGGAGTCTATGATGCTGAAGTTTTAGGGCAATGATCCCCCTGCCCACCCTCAACCTTGCCCATTCAAATTCAGCCTTCCCTTACCCGCGGGTAACACGTACGGCCCCGTGAAGGTTATTCACGGGTAAGTTAATATCTCGGGAACCACGGAGTCTAGAAGACTGAAATTTTTAGGGTAATGACCCCCTGCCCACCCCCAACCTTGCCCATTCAAATTCAGCCTTTCCTTACCCGCGGGTAACACGTACGGCCCCGTGAAAGATGACCCCCTGCCCACCCTCGATCTTGCCCATTCAAATCCAGCCTTCCCTTGCCCGCGGGTAACACTTACGGCCCCGTGAAAGTTATCCTCTTGCCCACCCTCAACCTTGCCTATTCGAGTTCAGCCCTCCCTTACCCGCGGGTAATACGTACGGCCCGTGAAAGTTTTTCACGGGTAAGTCACGGGTAAGTAAATATCTCGGGAACCTCGGAGTCTATGAGGCTGAAGTTTTAGGGTAATGACCCTCTGTTCACCCTCAACCTTGCCCATTTAAATTCAGCCCTCCCTTACCCGCGGGTAATACGTACGGCCCCGTGAAAGTTTTTCACGGGTAAGTTAGTATCTCGGGAACCACGGAGTCTAGGAGGCTGAAATTTAAGACTAATGACCCCCTGCCCACGCTCAACCTTGCTCTCATTCAAGTTTAGCGTTCTCGTGCTCTCGGTTACCAAATACGGCCTCGTGAAAATTTTGGCGGGTAAACTACTAACTCGGGAATCACGGAAAGATATTCATCCTTCAAGGTTTCGAATTCAGCTTCCATACGCTGGTGCGTGAAACTTTTAACTGTTTTCCAATGCTTGAACTATTTTTGCATAGACTATAGTACAAAGCAGTGAAAATCATTAACAGGCAATCGTTCGATGGTAGAACTATTTTTGCATAGACTAAAATACAAGGAAGTGAAAATCATTAACAGGCAATCGTTCGATGGGTTGAACTGCACAAAGACGCATGATCGCACCGGCTAGTCTGGTGCGCGTTGCTATTTATTACAATTACGATTGCACAAAACGCATGATCGCACCGGCTAGTCTGGCGCGCGTTGCCATTTATTTTCATAAAAATACAGAGGCATGGCGGAATAAAAACCCCCGGTTCGTCCAGTTAGGCAGGACATTCTGATTCCTTCCGCAGACCACCAGTTGTCCACATATACCTTATGGTTTTGATATTCTTGTTCATATTCTGAATTGTACAAATTTCGATCTTTCATTGAAGCTGTTGCTTTTCCGCTTATAGATTTTCATTTAATAAATTCTTTTTTAAGTTTGCCAAAAATGAGATTTTACGTACACGTTGTTAATACCAATCATGAGAACAAAATAAAATGTGTACTGATCTAATCCTTCATTTTAGGTCAATTTTCGTAGCATCTGTTGAGGTTTTACATCTGTCTTGGCGCACTCTAAAATTTTAAGATATAGTCCTTTTGTGGATATCAGAATAACCCAAAGCAGGTGTTACTTTAAGAAGAAAACTGGGTTTCTGAGGGATTCTGGAATATTTCTTTGTAAGCTGGTTGCTTAATTTACCGAGTATTTTTCACTGATGTTGCTGACTAAAAATATAAAATTTTTAGGAATGGCGAAAGATGGCGGGGATGCGGAATCTTATCGATTGGAGGGCAATGAACATTTTCGTTCCTCGCGCTATCACAATGCTATTTCAAGTTATACCAAATCGTTGAAATGCTCGAAAACATCAGCGGTGCTTTCCAACAGAGCTCAGGCATACCTCAACACCAAACAGTTAACTAGTTTTAATTATAAATGTAGGGAATTTGAGTGATGAGCAGCGGTTCAGTTGTTTGTTGGATTCCTTTGAATTTAATAATACTAATTGTGCTCATTGCTACGACTTATACTGTTCATCCATCAGAAAACTCTCGGTTTTTGCGCTTCTGGGCTTTTTATTTAACATAGAAAACTTCCTGGTGATAAGATAACGAGATATTGAAATCATCCATTAAATCCAGATACTGTGATTAATGGGGAACCGGACTTATCACATTCTCCATGCTCTAATATCAAAGTTCCTTTTTATATTTTTATTTCCCGTGAAAAATGGAAACGTCGAAATGATAGCGTATTAGCGTTTTTAATTTGCCCCTCTTTCGAGGATTACTTAGAAGTAAGCTAAGACATACCTAATGAAGCTAATTGTCGTGGTTATTCACCAGCAAAGGCAGTATTATTTACAGATACGAAAGAGCTCTTATGGATGCTGCAGAAGCAATGGAATTGGACCAAACAAACGTAAAAGCAATGTTCAGGCAGGAAAATTTGATTGCTGTAGAAATTTGGCCATACACCCCAAACTCATCTCTTCCCAGATTTTTTTTAACTTTTTTTCCATACAATGTAAAATTTGCAAAAGCCCACCTGTGTATGTCAACATGATCGGTTTTTTTTTGGCTTAAATTCCAGCAAAAAGCGTAAGTCAGTGTGTGGATCTTCTTAGCTATTTCTCTGCTGCTTTAAGTAATGAAGTAATTTGAGCTAGCATTAGTTTGCCGGCACTAACTACGTCAAATTTATCTGTGATATTCAAATTTAAAAGAGCAGAACGTGAAAAAACGGAATGAAACAAGTGCCAGTAGGCTGACTATCAGACGATGTGGTCAGAACAGCTTGGCAAGTTGCCATCTACATAGTTGGAGAGCCAGATGCTCAACTATTCAAGAATTTAGCTTGTTTGAAGTCACTGAGCATTCGTTCAGGCATATTCCTCGAGGCTAATGATGGTAATGTACCTTTTCAGATATGCAAAAGCATTAGTCAATCTGCAACTCTATGAAGTTGCTATGGAAATGATTTCAAAAATTGAGCAACTTGATCCCAACAACAAAGAGGTTGCCAGATTGAAGGAAAGTGCCAAAGATAAGGTGACTTCATTTTCGGTTTTAATTCATCAGCCACTAGTATTTTCTTCTTTTGAACAACTTAGACTCACTTTTAATGTCCCAATTTTCTACATATTTTCAATTTTTTCTTTGTAAATGTTTCATTTTTTTATATGCTTAAAATATTCTGGTTTTCTTGTTTTAATTAAAATGGATGCAGTTCCAGCCGAATTGCTCTGAATTGCGACTTTCCTGCCTAAAAAATAAAGATGAATTTCTTTGTTCGAAAGTTCCACTAAAAGAAATACGAAACATCGAAGTGATAAAGTCGGTGGATAGGCTGACAAAAGAATCAGCTCTTTCGGTGAGTAATTTGTTATTGAAGTTGATAAATAAATTTATCCGAGAAATCTGTAAGGGTGTTTAGGCTGTCAGAATAATTTATTTTTGAAATTCTCTGCCTCTGCAAAAGAGATGTCTGGAATTGAAACTTGGAATATCAAAAGAAGCAACTGTTTTCAAAATTCGGGGAAAATTTGGAAAAGCAATTTTTCTTTTTTTGCAAATTGTGTTTCCAGTGATCCGTAGAGCGGTAGAATCATAAATTCAGAAGATATGTGGCCTGTAAGAATATACTGAGTCTTCACTGTACATTCCTTTAGCCACTGTTTAATTCAACCCTGTTCATAATAGCGGGAACTAATACCATATATGAGTTGTTTCAGTTCAAGGCAAGTTATCCTTACTTTCGTAAGAGAGAACTCAGTCAGAACAGGGACTGAATGAACGGGTAGAAACCGAAATAACTTAAAAACAAGCAAATATTATGCTTCATAACTGAAGTCATTAACTTCCTCCGTATCCTTACTGCGCAAAAAGTAGAAATAGTCGGAAGTATCTTGAGTAGTAGCAAACACTTTTTGGTAAGGTTCTCGATGTCTCTCTTCAAGGGTTGCTTAGAAGCAGGCTGGTGGCGGCACTACTAATTACTGCCAGAATGAACGTCGAATTGTAGATTTTTGGGTTATTTTACATATACCATCCACTTTTAGGAAGAAATCTGTGCTACTTGCCATTGCTTCATTAGCTGCTGGAAATCAGAAATGAACATTTAAGTGCAACTAGTTGCTTCTTTTCGACGGCTTCTCGTCTAATACTCTTTTTGTGTGCTTAACCCCTGAACTACTGCATTAGTTTTAGACATCATTGACTTAATCTTTCACGAATTTTTTTGGTTGGTGCATCGTGTGTTTTGTTTGCAGATGTTGAAGCATACGGCACCAGAAATTCCACCAGTTCCAACGACGTCGTTTCGTTTCATTGCCGACTATCAAGCACTCAAAAATAGGCCCGAAGAGTTTGCCAGTTATTTTTTGGTAAGCACTAAAAAAATTTTTTTGTTCATCTTCATTGTTAACACATTTGAATATCATGGAGCAGCCAGTAATTTATGAAATGGTTTGCCATCTATGGCGTCTCTCCCAGCTGCTTCAGCCAATGCTGCGTTTTTAAATGGCCGGCGTGCTGGTGATGCTGGAATTTATTTTAACTCTTGAAAAGATTATCTGCTCTGCTAATTTTTACAGCAGAAGCACTTAATAAGGCTTTAATTGTTTCGAAATGCTTTTGCGTATCTTGAACGTAACTACCTGTTCGATTAATGTCGTTTACATACCACTGAGCAATTCGCTGTATCCGATAGTTTTGTCTCATCCTCGTTATATCGTTCAACACAGCCCTTTTTTCTGGCTATGTTTCCCAGAAAGTAACTTGGAATTAGTACTGATGAGGTCCAGTTGTAGTACTAGAAAGAATTATGTACGACTTCTTGAACCAAAACATTTCTTTTTGTTTCTAATCCCACTTCTCCTACACGAAAAATTTGACTCTCAAAACAGGTTTCTGTTTATATACTTGGCTTAAGATTCGTTTTGAAAATCTCCACATAACAAAATTTAGCAAATTATAGCGCATGTTTCACAACACTTTTCATTCTTTTCTAATTATTTTTCGCTTCCTTCTAGAACGTCAGGGGAGAGGGATTAGGCACCGGGGTGAGGTAGGAGAGGAGGGGGGGGGGGGGGGGGGGGGGGGGGGGGGGGGGGGG